ATTCTTTGTAATTAAGTCTTCAAAAATTTGCATTTTTGGCCTTGGACTCGGCGAGTTGAAGGACCAACACACCGAGTAGAAGCGGGATAAGGTGCGGGACTTAAGTGATGGACTCGGCGAGTCGAGTCCCAGACTCGACGAGTAGGTGCTGTTCGGACAAAAACCCTAACCCGAGGGTTTGCACCCTATTTAAGCAATGTTATGACAGCCATATTGTCCCTTATGCTCCCCAAAACACTTCTTATTGAAACCCTAGCCGTTTGTGCTTTGTTGAGGCATTTTTTGGTGTTCTTGTGTGGTTGTTAAGCTTGGAAGGAATGAAGGAGCTTGGAACTTGAGTTGGGACCACTAGATCCAGGGATTTTTACTTCATTTTCAGCAGCTTCAAGGTATAATGCCCCTGTCTTGACTCATCTATGTGTTTATTCATCTTTAACTTGGGATCTCTTTGGATTTCTAAGTCATATTTTGCATTTGGAAGTGTTGAGTGGGTTTTGACTTCAGATCTGGACCTTAAGAGGGGTCTCATGGCATAAAGGTGCCAACTTTAGGGCCATGAGAGCCCCATGCACATTGTAGGACACTTTATATGGATTTTTGAGCTAAAAATCCCATGCATGTGCATCAAGTTTGGAACTTTACGTATAAAGTGAGCATTAGGAGGCCAGGTCTATGGTTTTGGTGTGATAGATCTCATTTAAATTGACTGTATGGAATTGGTCAAGATTGGACTCGGCGAGTCCGTTCTTGGGACTCGGCAAGTCCAACGCATAAAGTCCCATATCTGTTAAGGGTCTAAAGAACTTAGTTGGGTGTTAGAAGGACTGTAGAAGGTCGGAAAGGGTGATCCAATGTTCTGGACTAAGCCATTGTTCTGGATATTCATGGGACTCGGTGAGTGCATGAGCAGACTCGGCGAGTCCAAGGCAATCTTCTTGTGGATGAAGATGAACTCGACGAGTTGTTCATACAACTCGGCGAGTCGGATGAAGATTCAGTCGATGTCCATTTAGAAGGAAAACTCGTCGAGTCATCGCCAAACTCGACGAGTAGAGACGAGTGTAAGAACAAATGGAAGGATATGGACTCGGCGAGTTGGCGAGCCAACTCGACAACTCAGGTCAACTGGTAGTTGACTTTGACTTTGACTTGATCGGGAGTAAAATGGTCATTTTACCCTAAGGACAGTTAGCAGTGTTTGATGGACTGTTTTGTGGGAATTACAACCAGAGGATTTCCGAAGCAGCAGCAACAGATAGACAGTTCCCGCGCAAATCAGTAGCAACTTCGAGGTGAGTTACCTTCCAGTAACGGTGGGTCTACGGCCACAATGTCGGCCCATTAGTAGGAGTTGTATGATTAGATGATTGTCTATGTGATATTCATCTAGGTTTGCTACTACCTGATATGTTTACGTTCTAGTATGATATGATGCTATGTGCTAGTGACAGTAGGGGAGATAGTCCCCAGTATCCGGTCGAGAGGACCGAAGGGGAGACCAGCACCCATATATGCTACTCGGCATCCGATCGAGAGGACTGAAGGGGAGACCAGCACCTAGATATGCTAGCCAGTATCCGGTCGAGAGGACCGCAGGGGTAGATCGGGCACCCAGATATGCCTGAAAATATATGTATGTTATGTGGTTGTATGGTATGTGGTACGATGGGGGAACTCACTAAGCTTCGTGCTTACAGTTTTCAATTTTGGTTTCAGGTACCTCTTCATCGAAGGGGAAGGAGCTGGCGCAGTAGCGGCACATCATACACACACACACTGTTTTCTGCTTTCCGAACTTGTTTTGGGATTTGTACTGTGATATTTGGTTGTTTTCATATTTTGGTTTCAGACACGATGTATGTTATGAAATAGCTTGATCAGACAATGTTTTATTCACAAATGTTTTCCAAAGTATTGATTTAAAAACGAAATTTCTCGACATGAAATTTGGGTCGCTACATTTGAACATTTTATTTTTGACACTAATTTCATTATATCAAAAGAGATTACAATTCTTGACTTTTTAGGTCATTACATTGATTCAAAATACCGGGTTTTCACACCAGCAGAGGAGGATCAGCCGACAAAGCCCTCCCTATCATGGTTCACCATGTCGCGTGCCATGAAAAACAAACCAAGATAAAGATCCGTCACCTCATGGAAATTGGTGCAACCAGCCAAGTCAACTATGTTCGCATCCGTCGGATTGATGAAGACCACGATCGAACTCAAGACCACACCAAATTTCTTCGAAGGGAAATGGCCACGACCCGAACCAAAGTACAAGAGCTCCGGGAACACCGAACCACCTTAGAAGAACGTCTCACAGAAGCAGAGCGCCAAGCAGCAAAATCTAGAGCTGAAATGAGGGAAACCAGGAACTTCGTGTCTTCACTTCGTGATCCTCAGAGCTTCAACCGCCGCAAGTAGTGCCTGCACTGCTCGCTTCAGTTTAATCTAGTTTTGTGGGTAAGTATTACTATTATTTTCTAAGTATTCTATGTCCGATCCTATGATTTAAGTGTTTACACTTCCGGGGTCTGTTAGGCGGTCAAAAAATTTCCATGCATTGATGTAACCTAGACCATTATAGGGTCAAATTTTCCCAAATATTGTATACCAAGTTATATCAATGAAATTGGCACGCTATTTGTTGGTAACATTACATCAAGTTCATAATAAGGGTTATTTTCATATTAAAAATTTTCTGGTGTCCGATTTATGATTGTTTGATGTATGAATCCAGGTTACATATAATTTAGACCATGTCAACATAGAAAATGTTAAATCTGCCTTACATATAATTCGAAAGTTCCTTGTTTGGTTGTGGGCCCAAGGCAGAACCTTGTTTGGTATGGATTCTATCACATACATCTCATAAGAATCAAAACTATCAAAATTCATAAACTCTATATTCCATTATCTATAGACCTCTAGTATGGATGGATTCATACAATTCAAGTCGAAATCATGATGCATATAAAGAAATAATAATGTTTAGTTTTAACTCTCAACTTGTGAGTGTTTTCAAAGACTTATTGTCTTTTCATTCTTGATATGGCAGAAAATGCCACCTCGCAGAAATCCTAGATGCGGTAGTGCCACAGGAACTGCAGCGCCACCACCCCCGCAGTTCGACCCAATAATGTTCCAGGCAGCCGTAACTGCCACAATAGCAGCCGCCATATCCAAAATAAGCACCAACAATGCGGGTTGTATGAGTAATGGTGCCACAAATTCTAACAACAGGGATAGCCAGGGATGCTCCAGAGAGTGTACCTACAAAAACTTTACTAATGCCAAACCCAAAACTTTCAATGGGAGCGGAGGTGTCAAAGCATTGCTACAATGGTTCGAGAAAACTGAATCCATCTTTGAAATATGTGCATGCAGTGATGGAAACAAGGTCAAGTTTGCAACATGCACATTTTCTGAAATGGCACTCACCTGGTGGAATGTTCACGTCAAGACATTGACACTTCCCGTGGCTAACTCGATAACATGGGAAGACCTGAAAACCATGCTGATGAAAGAGTACTACCCAAGGGGCAAGATACAAAAGTTGGAAGAGGAACTTTGAGGTCTCAAAATGATAGGCTCTGACTTTCTGTCTTATACCTCAAGTTTTAGTGATTTAGCTATACTGTGTCCAGGGATGGTTCCATCGGAAAGTAAGAAGGTGGAAATATACATATGGGGACTATCTTCCTAACTTCAAGGGAACGTATTGGCCTCAAATCCAACTACCTTTGACAGTGCCAAAGAACTAGCACAATAACTCATCGACCATAAAGCCAGCCATGGCACTGTGACAACCACCTCCGAGCAAGCTAAAGGGGGAAACAACAAAAGGAAATTCTGGAACAAGAAGAAGGTTCAATCTGCTCAAGACCCTGCCAAGAAGAAACAAGTGGTTGCTGTGAACACCACCACAACTACTGCCAACCCAACTCCAATAAGGCAGTACATCGGGAACCTACCAAAGTGCAACAAGTGCAACTTTCACCATATTGGCACTTGTCGTGAAATGCATTGTACCAACTGTAACAAAAAGGGGCACACCGCTCGATTTTGTAAAGCTCCAGTCCAAGAAAACACACAAGCTACCAATGTCGGAGCAAGTCGAACCTGCTATGGTACTTTCCTTTGACAGTCCCAAAGAACTGGCATAGCAACTCATCGACCATAAAGCCAGCCATGACATTGTGATAACCACCTCTGAGCAAGCTAAAGGGGGAAACAACAAAAGGAAATTCTGGAACAAGAAGAAGGGTCAATCTGCTCAAGACCCTGCCAAGAAGCAACAAGTGGTTGATGTGAACGCCACCACAACTACTGCCAACCCAACTCCAACAAGGCAATACGTCGGGAACCTACCAAAGTGAAACAAGTTGAACTTTCACCATAATGGCACTTGCCGTGAAACACATTGCACCAACTGTAACAAAAAGGGGCACACCGCTCGATTTTGTAAAGCTCTAGTCCAACAAAACACACAAGCTGCCAATGCCGGAGCAAGTCAAACCTGCTATGGTTGTGGAGAGGTAGAGCACTTCAAACGCAACTGCCCGAAAGCAAGAAACCCTAACCCGGGTGAAGTGGGCAGCGTTCTGGCGATAGGCCATGAAGAAGCAGTTGCAGACCCAAGTGTGGTCACCGGTACGTTTCTCCTCAACAATACATACGCATGCATTCTTTTCGATAGTGGCGTGGAGAAAAGCTTCGTGAGCCATCAATTTAAATGCTTGCTTAAACAAAAACCACAAACACTAAAAGACACATTCACCGTAGAAATGGCTAATGGAAAAATAGAGAACACTAACGACATTTATATCGGGTGTACCCTCACCTTAAACAATCACTCTTTCCAAATCAACCTTATGCCTGTCACCATAAAAAGCTTTGATATCATCATTGGCATGGATTGGTTGTGCCCTAACCATGCTGAAATCCTATGTCATGAAAAGGCCGTTCGCCTTAATCTGCCAAGTGGCGAAACTCTCATCGTCTATGGCGACAATCCTAGCTCAAACTTTCAGATCATTTCATGTGTCAAGGCTAAAAGTATCTCCGCAAGGAGTATCGCGCTTTCCTATCCAACATCGTAGACAAGAAACAAGAAGCTAAAAACATAAAAGACATTTCGGAGGTCTGTAACTTCCTTGACGTATTCCCGGAAGACGTTCCAGGAGTGCCTCCTACTAGACATGTCGAATTCCGAATCGACCTAATTCTAGGAGCTACTCCTGTAGCCAAATTGCCATACCGTCAAGCCCCAGCCGAAATGCAGGAATTGTCTATTCAATTGAACGAACTACTAAGCAAAGGCTTCATAAGGCCAAGCTTCTCTCCTTCGGGAGCACCAGTCTTGTTCGTCAAAAAGAAGGATGGGACATTTCGCATGTGCATTGACTACGGTGAATTAAATATACTCATCATTAAAAAAACCGATACCCTTTGCCTCGAATCGATGACCTCTTCGACCAGCTACAAGGAGCAAGTTGATGGATTTTAGTCATAAGAACATCCTATGTGCTCATACAAACCGTAATGCTTGGATCTAGGTTTCTCTATTTTACATGCAATTAATCCAAGACTATTAACCCTAAATCTAGCACATGATAATCGACATTTTCATAATAATGGGTTTAAGATATTACCTTGATTGTTATGTAGCAATAACAATCACAATTCCTTCTTATAATGACTTTAGAAAGCTTAGAGTCACAAATGTCACTCCTCTAATGGTTCACAAACACCAAGAGCAAGAGGATGAAGAGGAGAAGAGAAGGAGGCTTCCCAAAACCATCCAAAACTCTAGAAGGAAGCTTGTTCACGTTTTTGAGGCATAAGGGTTCTATATATAGTGAGGCTATTAGGGTTATCTAAGAAGGAACCCCTAATTTGGATGCTTAAGCCCTAAGCAACCCATGGACTCCTTTACTTAAAGGCCTTGGACGATTTCTTATGGGTATCCCCATAGAATTTGTCCAACCTTATAATATAAGTTAATCCATAGCCCAATTGCAAGTATCTTATAATTACAATTCCAGTCCCTTAAGTTTAATTAATCTCTTTTAGTCACAAACTTAATTCTTATTAATTCTTGACTAATATTAATTAAACAATATGATTTCTCCTTTAATATATTATTCCCATAATATATTAATAAATCATATGTAATCCTTTCTCTCCATAATTCATCCTATCAAGTTGCTTTGGTGAAGGCAACCCAAAAGGACCATGCACCATCGGGTGAAGTACATACCAAAATAGTTATGGACTTAGACACTAATCCAACAGTCTCCCACTTGGGTAAGTCTAATAACTATTCCGCGTATGACTTCAGATCCTGATATGCAATCGTAGGTTTCCAAAGCCACTGTCAACTCTGATCCTATCAGATACGCGTGTCCTTTAGATAAGGGATCATATATTCCTCCATTCTAGATATCGTATAAGACATGATTTCTAATCATTTTCTTTGTACTATTTCCCGTCTTCCAATTTATGACGATTGACTAATTGAACATATCAAATTAGCCCTATCCCTGCCGAGCATTTACGTTTGTCATCACTAAATCATCGAGGGGCCCAAAGATATCGCTTTTATGCTACTTTGGATAAAAGGAACGGATAAACTTTGACTCAATGTTCGCTTGTACTCACTTACCGAATTACACACAACAATATGTTTTATAACACCAAGTTACTAGTGTGTTTACATATCATCAATGTCTAACAGACTCGCAAGATACAACTCACACATCTCGGTTTCAAGAATATAAGATGTTATCTTCTCACTAATCACTCGTGATAAAATCCATGAAGTGATCCAAGTGAGCGTGGGTTTAATCCAATGCTCAAATCATATTCATAAGCACTCATGAACATTGCAGCAAACATTTGCTTATGTCTAATGCTCTTTAGACAATCCACACACCAATTCACGGCAGTCTTCATTCATACCTACTTCCAACATATGAACGACTGTGGTCCGTTTCAATAATTTTACTGTTCTTAACCAATAAAATTGTTCAGGAAGTCAAAACATGCAAAGTGATACACAAGGATAATACTAATCCCACATGGCCTCAAACCTTTGAGTATAAATAAAACACCTTTTATTTATCACCATATCGATTACTCATTATTTGTTGTTTCGGGTAATCAACTTCTTACTTGAATTACAACACTTGTCCCATGCTCTCAGCATGCACACAATGTTTACCCGTGGTTCTTACTTTTGTGAAATAGATCAAATGAACACGTTTCCAATCATACTCATTTCACAACTCCTAATCCTTATTATAAGTGTAAAAATATCAAATTCTTGTCACTTATAGAATATGTTAGATTCTAACATTTTTTATGCAATGATCCTTTTGTAATCTCATAGCATAAAAAAAAATCACAAAGACTATTGCCAA